TCTGTAAACATCCCACAAACCCTATGCCTCACCGCCGTATAATACCTAACTCTACACGCCACCAACAACCAAAACCAACAACGCACCTCACCAACGGCACCGCTCCACCATTCATTCGGCCTAACAAGAATAGCGCCTAGATACCAATAGCCACCAATTCAAACAAAAATAGCGCCTAGATACCAGACGTCGGCCGACTTCCCTCCCTTTCAATTTAGGTGGGTTTCGGGTTAGGGGTGGGATTTAGGGGTGTTTTTGGGGATTGGGTAGCGGTGGATTCGATTAAGGGTGGAGCCGTGGGTGGTGGGGTATGGTGGAGTTAGTTTGGTAGTGGGGGTTGTGGTTAAGTGGTGGTTATGGAGGTAGCTGGTGGTGATTGCTTAGTGGAAAGTGGTAAGGAGGGAGGAGATAGATTAAAAGAAAAATTAAAATAAAATTAACGGATTTTTCACCAAATACCACTGAGTTCTTTCGTAATTCACCATATACCACACAAAATTTTCTAGTACACCAAATACCACTGAGTTTTTGGTAAATGTCACAACATACCATTAATGACTAACGGACGTTAACACCGTTAGTCATTAAGGCTAATAATTCCACGTGGCAGCTTGTGATTGGTTCCTTTCTAAATTATTTAATTAATTATAAAAAAACCAAAAAAATAACAAAAATTAACAAAAAAAAAAAACAAAAACAAAAAATAATTAGAAAAAAAAAATAAAAAACCTGCTGCCACCACCAAATACCAATCTCTCAACTTTCTTCCATCTCCATTTCTTGATTGTCCATTGTAGAATATCAAGCTCCAATTCCCAGAAAATCATCAAACTACAATGGGGCTATTTTCAATGGCATTCACCTGCGGCAGTTTCATCCTTCTCGGAGCTTGGGAATCTCTCTCCTCTTCCTCCCAACCATTGCAACAACCACCGTCGATTCTCCACAATTACCCTTAACTACGCCGCATCTCTCTCTTTCCTCTTCATCATCAACTCTCTTCTCTACTTTCTCATCTCCATTTGAAGGATTCTGATGGAATTGAGAATCGTTATTATGATTTAATGCTTGTTCCGATTGCAATTTGTGTGTTTTCTACTATGATTGAATTGGTTTCCCCAAATTTTGGAATCCCTAAATTAGGTCGTGGGTTAGGGTTAATCTTGAAGGGGACTTGGTTTGTGCAAATGGGGTTTTCGTTTTTTTCGGATTTGATTGCGAATTGGTTTCCCCAAAACCTGGAATCCCTAAATGGGGTTTTCGTTTTTTTCGAACTTGGTTTGTGCAAATGGAGTGTATTCGTGTTTTGAAAGAAGGTTTGTTACTGAGGGTAATTACTCGAGTTACCGACTTTAATGGGTTCTTCCGCCATGGATTTAGACGACGAACTTGAAGATCATCACCAGCAGCAACAAGACGACATCTCCATTCATCAATTACGCAAGCTCCATGGGTGGGGTTTCAGTCGGGTTTTGGGTTTAAATGGGTGGGTGGGTCGCGACGGGAAAGAGGAGGGGAAGGGAATGGTCGCCGGCCGACCGGGAAATGGACCAGGCGGCCAGCCGGGGGTAGAGGTCGGGGCTGGGCTGGTGGCAACAATGGTTGAGTTGGAGGTGTTATTTTTTTTAAAATTTTTTTTAAAGTTAGTTAATTAAATAAATAACATTAATAATCACCAATTACAAGCTGTCACGTGGCATAATTAACGTTAATGATGAACACCGTTAACGGAAATGGTATGTTGTGACATTTACCTAAAACTCAGTGGTATTTGGTGTATTAGAAAATTTTGTGTGGTATATGGTGAATTACGAAAGAACTCGTGGTATTTGGTGAAAAATCCGTAAAATTAACCTGTTAAAATGGTTATAAGTAAAAAGGATCGTTTTGAGAAGATGGGGTATAAGGTGGGATTATTTCCAGAATACGTAAAGGTGGGATTATTTTGAGAAGATGAGACAAATGTGGGATTATTAATTTCAATTTTTCCTATATATTATGGGATGTCAGGAGGCCTAGGAGTATAAGATATTTTTATGATTTGCTTGTCATTTTTTATTTATTTATTATTTTTTATGGGTTCATACTAAAAAGGTGCAACACAAGGACTTCCTAGAGTTGTAAAAAATTGACCCGATCCGAAAATCCGATCTGAATAGCCAATGATATGACCCCAACCCTTACTTGAACAATAAGGTGAAACTAGTGACCTATAACCCGACTAGAGCCCGACGAATGTTAACCTACCACCAATTTGATCCAATACTTTATTACCTGAACTTGGACTTGAACCTGACCTGATAGTCTTGACAACCGATTTAACTCGACCCGACAATATAATGATATGAACCTGAACTAGTACACAACCCTATTAGAACTTGAATTTGATTATAACCAGACACAACCTATTATATTGAAATTGACCTGTGGTAACCCATAACAAGGCTTTAATTGACTCATCAATTCATCATCAACCTGCCATTGACCTAACATGAAACTAGATATCAGTGCGACTTGCTTTTACCTAAATAACCCAAAACAAATTAAACCAAATAAATCTTGATTTTAAATTGTTTACAATGACAAAACCATAGAATTGTACAATTCATTCATATAATATACCAATATGTTTGCTTAACAACATATTGGTACAATTTGTTCAGATTATTTACCTCTTGTTCTATAGGGTTAATAAAATCTCCATCATACTGGATCGAATTATAGAAGACGTAATTATATTGGTTTAAGTTGTCACACCAATATTGATCCAACTTGAATTTGACGCAAACTCAAGAATGATCCAATTTAAAGATTAGATTGATAATTATCTGACCCAACCCCAACCCTAACCCAAACCCGAATATATAAGTTATTAACCCGCCCAAACCCAACTCGACACATCCGAACCTGAAATTGAATACGACTTGAATTTGACTCAAATCGAACCCGACCTACACTTGAAATAACCTAAACCGAAATTAACCCGACCCGACCCGTTCCTAAACCAGATTTAGAGGCTAGATTAACCCGACATAACCTGATACTTGATTTGACCGGATCCAATCCCGACTTGTATACTCAAGTTGACAACTCTAAGATTTTCCAATAGGTCAACCATATTATTATTTCTCTTGCCCAAACACGCTATGGGATCCGTAATATTGAGCGATTAAAAAGAACAGCACAAGATGGGCTTAGCCTAACTCAGCCCATTTCACATCTAGATTCAGCCTCATGAATGATGAAATCAACTTTAGATAGGATACTACAACACCATCCCAATTCTCCTAACACTAATCCATGGCCCAAAAGATAAATCAACTTTTACAAAAACAACAAAAATAAAAATAAAGTAAATCAAAAACTTTTTCTATTTGATTTGTCTTCTGACGTAATAAAAAAAAATAATCGAAAAAAGCAAAGAGGAATGTTTCCCGATGGAGTACAAAGCTGGAAAATGAAAATATATAAATTTATGATCCATAAAAATCCCAAATCAACTTTATTCCTTGGATCTCCTTTTTAAAATAATGAAAGAATGAACATAAAATAAATGAAAATGTTAAGGCCCAATTGGCAGACGCAGTTCCCAATTCTCTTCAAACCCAGACAGGCAGTCCAAACTCCCTTTACAGGACCTCGTTATTGGTGGAGTTTTCTTCTCTCTACTTTTTTTTTTTTTCTCTTTTTTTCCTGTTTGCTTTTCTACTTTTTTTTCTTTCACTTTTCTTATCTGAGTTTTGATCATTCTCATCATTATCATATCACTTCATTTCTTTATATATATATATATATATATATATATATATATATATATATCAAGTACATTGCTTTTTCCTTTTTAAACTTTTTCTATTAAAAAAAAAAAAAAAAAAATTACTTGTCCAATTTTAATGTTTGTCAATGTATAAATTATACCACTGTAATTTTTCATAATCGTTTAGTATGAGTTATAAAAATGAAAATTTTTGAAAGTACGTAGTATAGTATATCAAGATGAATCTAATAAAATTTCGCATGACTGTTTTTTAACGGTTAAATTTAATAAATTGGCGATATGAGAAAAATTAAGCGGTACTCTGTGACAAAATTCAGACATCTCGAATACAATTAATCTTGTTTGTGACACTTAATTTCAAAATAAAATGTTATTCAAAGGTGAAAGGGTAAAACATACAAGTATAAAGTGTTTAAAAGACAAAGAGTATTGCAACTTTGTTAATACTCTTTTTTTAAGGGAAGAAAAAAATAAAACAAAAAAACCTTAAAGTATATTGGTATGGCAAATATTGTTTTTAGGTAACTTTAAAAGAGTAAGGTTAAATCAATACACATCAAAATAATCAAATAGTAAAGTTATCTAGCTATCTCTAAAACCCACATTATTCTTGAGTTAACTTTTCTTAAAGATATTACTATTAGTTTAAATAAGTTTCTAACTATTCATCCCTTCCATCTCTTAAAGTTTATCTCACTTTTTTATTTTAAGATTTTCCTTTAATTTAGATTCGTTACATAATAATTTATCATAAGGGTTTAACATTTTACTGTCACATTTATTACTTGATCCCACCAATCATTAACTATATTTATCCAAAAATAAAAAAAGATTAAATCGCCTCATATAAGGCAAAGTTTTAATTTTCCTCCAAACTCACCCAGCTTGTACAACTTATCCTGCATTAGCAAACAAAACGAGACAAATAGAGTTACTAACATGTTAAATATTTTGATTTCTTTATACTACCTTGGCCCACGCCATAAAATTATTCTTCAATTTAGATGGACCAAGGTTCAAATTTTACTTTGAACGCAATATACAAAAAGTAGAGTATAGGCCAAATGTTGGATTTTTAATGTTAGTGGTCATAATCAAACATATTTTATACCAAAGTTATAAAGTTTAAAGAGACCACATTCTCAATCATCTATTTAACTTTATCCCTAATTAATTTGAGGATGAAATTTTTTATTTATTTATATTAAAGAGAGTAGAATGAAGTAGCAACAACAGCTTAACTTTGCTTCACATGCATTCCACTTTCCAACAGACACAAAATCTAAACATTTTTCCTCCTTCCACAAGTAAGGCATAAAACCAACCTATACATATACTTCACAACCCCTTCTTACTTTGTACTACTACTAAACTTAAAACTTTCAAAAAATATGACTAACTTCTTCTAAACTCTTTTTTTTTTCCCCTCTTCTTTTCTCATTACACTAGATTGCTCTAATCTTCTTCAATCACTACCCTAAACACATTCAAAATGCGAACCGGCGGTTGTAGTATACAACAATCTCTTACACCGGAGGCCGCCACGATTGTTAAGCAAGCCATAAACCTTGCTAGGAGAAGAGGCCATGCACAAGTCACCCCTATCCATATTGCTAGTGTTATGCTAGCGTCACCGGCCGGTCTCCTTAGAGCGGCTTGTCTAAAGTCACACTCCCACCCTCTTCAATGTAAGGCCTTGGAGCTTTGCTTCAATGTGGCCTTAAACCGTCTTCCTACTACAACTCCTACCCCAATACTTGGCACACACTCTCATTATCCATCTCTTGCTAATGCCCTAATGGCCGCGTTCAAGAGGGCGCAAGCTCATCAACGACGAGGGTCCATTGAGAGCCAACAACAACCTATCTTAGCCCTTAAGATTGAGACTGAACAACTTGTAATCTCTATTCTTGATGACCCTAGTGTTAGTAGGGTTATGAGGGAAGCCGGGTTTTTGAGCCCTCATGTTAAGTCTAATGTTGAGCAAGTTGTTACCTCTATAGAGGGTTGCTCTCAAACTACTACTATCACTTCAAACACTACTACAAACATTAAAACCGAAATTGTAAGCCCTATGGTTTACCGTTCCACTTCAAATCACCAAACACTTTCATCCATACCGCCTTTGAACCAATTCGACCTTGCGTTTTCTAAGCCCTTAAGCCAGCCTAGAGCCGAGGATGTTTCGAGTGTGATCGAGTCGTGGGCAAAGAAAAGAGAAAAGAGTAGTATAGTTCTTGTAGGAGAGTGTTTGAGTAGCATTGAAAGTGTTGTAAGAGGAGTTAAAGAGAGAGTTGAAAGAGGTGATCAAGTCCCCTTAGAGTTAAGATATGTACAATTCCTAAATTGCCCTTTGTCCTCAATGAAGAACCTTTCAAGGGAAGAAATAGATTTAAGGCTTGGTGAAATTAGATGTCTCCTAAAAGGTTGTGTAGGAAGAGGGGTAGTTTTGTACTTAGGTGACCTTAAATGGGTTGCTGAGTATTGGTCTTACTATGGAGAACAAAGGAAACACTACTATTGTCCTGTGGAACACTTAGTAATGGGATTAAGGCGATTAGTTTTCGGTAATATGGAATTAACAGGAAGATTATGGTTAATGGGTATTGCAACTTTTAACTCTTACATGAAATGTAAGTCAGGCATTCCTTCCTTGGAAACTCTTTTGGATCTCCATCCTCTCACAATTCCCGCCGGAAGCTTGGACCTTAGTCTCAACCTCGAGAGGTATGTGTGAAATTTTTGTCCAAACTCGTAAAATATTTAACTTAATTAAATCACTAATCATTGTTTTATTTATTGATTAACTAAAGTTTTTTGTTTAGTGCTAATAATGCTGTTTTTATTGCTTGTTTTCAGCTCATTGAAGGGCCAAAACAAAAGTGATGTATCAGGAGAAGGTGTTAGCTGGCCACTACTTGAAAATAAAATTGATATGCAGCTCACTTGCTGTATGGACTGTTCGGCTAATTGTCATCGAGAAGTGAAGAGCTTAGCTGGCACTTTTCGAAACAACGACTCGACCACCACAACCACCACCACCACCACGACGTCCACCAGCTCTAGCCTACCGTCTTGGCTCCAAAAGTGTAAGGAAGAGAGCAAAGAAATCAGTGCTAAACATCAGGTTGGTTATCATCTCAACAAATATATGTCAAAAACAACTTTAAAAAAAATATATAGAAATAAAACTCTGACATTCTTTTGTGATTGTTGCTACAGCAGGAAACAGTGCAAATCAAAGAGCTATGCAAGAAATGGAACATAATATGCAGCTCATCATCTCATCAAACCTCGAATGTGGCCGAAAAGACGATAAATTTCTCATCATGTTCCCCTTCTTCTTCCACCTCGATATCGTCTTACGACCATAACAAAAATCAGTTACAAGATACAAAACCAATCACTACTTGGCCTATGTTGTTTGAGCCTACATGGGCATCAAAAGAACACCAATTTTTGATGTCTAACATTGAACGAAAACCCGAACTTTTATCCAATCCCAATTCTACACCAAACTCGGCCTCATCAAGTGAAGCAACAGAGGCAGTATTTGAGAGACCGCCGTCATCATTGTCAGTATTTGGATTCAAAGAGAACAACCCCGAGAATTTGGAGGCCTTGTGTTCTGCCTTAGAGAAGAGAGTCCCATGGCAAAATGATATAATCCCTGAAATCACGACAACAATCTTACGAATAAGATCAGGGATGATGAGCAGGAAGTGTAATACTTTGCCGAAAGAAGAGCAGCAGAAGAAGGAAACTTGGCTGTTCTTCTTGGGGGCTGACGAAGAGGGTAAATTTGCAGTAGGAAGGGAGTTAGCTAAGCTAATTTTCGGGACTTTCAGCAGCTTTAAGGCCATTGGTGTAAGCAGTTACTCATCGACGAGAGCTGATTCTACTGATGACATAAGGAGCAAGAGACTGAGGGATGACTCCAGTGGTGGATACCTCGAAAGGCTTGCAGCAGCAGTGAAAGAAAATCCTCATCGCGTTTTCTTCATTGAGGATGTCGAACAGCTTGATCAACGCTCCCTGAGTGGTATCAAGCGAGCAATTGAGGCCGGAAAAATTAGTCTGTCAGATGAAGAAACAGTCTCTCTTGAAGATGCAATAGTAATTTTCAGTTGCGACAGTTTTAGTTCAGCATCAAGAGCTTGTTCTCCTACTGTCAAACAAAAGCTGGACGACGACACTGATAAACATGATTCAACTGATCTAGATAAGTTTGATCACGACGAAGTAGAGGAAGCCACTTCTTCCTGTGTTCGCCTTGATTTGAACGTCGTCTTTGATGAGGATAATGGAATTGATGAGCATTCAATTGGAGATATCAGGATTCTGGATTCAGTAGATAAACAAGTCTTTTTCAAAATCCAAGTGTTGTAGAAGATCAGAGTTGGTTGACAGAGCTTTCTTACTGTTTTTCTTAATTATTATTTATGCTTTGAGTATTAAAAATGGGTGGATGGTATACAAATTAAGAAAATTAGTTTAAATCAGGGAAAATTAGGTAACTTAATTACAATTAGTAACTTAGTAATCATGTTCATACTCAGTTGGTCTGAGTAACAGTTCATGTGTGTTAATATAGTTTTGTAAATTTTGTCCTTTCAATACTTAATCTATCTTCTGGCTTGCATAATTTGTGTGGCTAGTTAATGGTATATAACTTTCGTTGTGTTTCGTGGTTTTATTTTTTAATTATGTGATTCTGTAATGCAAAGGTTTTGGTGATCGAGCCAAAACTAGTATTGCCTTCGTTTTATATCATTCTTCTTACATGAAATCTTTTCTTGGGACAATATAATGATTAAAGTAGTAAAAACAATATGAAGCAGAGAGAGTATGAATTATTGCTAGAGTTTCATTTATGGACATGAGCATTTATCGTCCTTTTGTCTCCGATCCTCTATTCCTAACGAGTGTTATGTATCAGATAGCTCACCTTGGCCTTTCTCACTAATTCACTATGCACTAGACGTTATTCGAAAGTGTAATTTGTACTTAAAAGGAGAGCTAAGGAATTACATTTAAGTGGAAGACTGCTAAGTACAATTGTAAATATTTATTTGTACTTTCTCCCATGTTAAAAGATAAAGTAAATATCATTCAAATTATATACCAAGCCACGAGGTTTGAATTATATATCATTCAAGTAAATAAAGGAGAGTACTTTCCAACTACGAGGTTGGAGGTTCAATTCCTACTAGTGACAATTTACCCTTAAAAAACACTTTAATTGATTAAATATAATGTATTAGATAATCATATTAGCTTTTATATTATGTACTCATTATAAGTTACACATTAAAATACAATCTAACCCATTACTTTAAATTAACCCTTCAAAGAAATAAAGTTCCCATAAAAATGGTTAAATATACCCTTAAATTAAAGTGAATAAATATGGATAAACTATCTTCGAAAGAGTGAGAAAAATTTATGCAGCATATCCGATCCGATAATATTACCAAGCTAAGCTTTGTCTAGTGGAAGGATTGTACCTTTCAACCTTGAGGTTGGGGGTTCAAACCCCACTAAAGACACTTTGAGGGTGGAAATTCCTTACCCTTTCCCCTCTCACTCTTCAAGTGTCTGACCTGTTAATGCCGGACCAAAAAAAACCGTTATAAGACGTTTGGAATGTGGGAATTGGAGTTTAGGGATTAAAAGGTGAGAATGAGATTGGAAATTAATTGTTGGGAATACATGGAAATATGTGAATACCTTGTTTGGATAGTGGGTAGGAATGTATAGAGAATAAATAACAATTTTTTAGAAAACTGCCCTTATTAACTATTTTTTTCTTTCTTTTCATTAATGGCAAAAATGTCAATTTGTATCTATTCCCATTCCTTTCAATTTATTACCTACCCTCCCTAGGTAATAAAGTGGTGAAAATTCACCCCTAAATATTCTCATTCCCAAACCTCATTTTATTCCCATTCCTATCAAATAAACAAGGCTATTTTTTTCAATTGGGATAAAAACTCTCAATCTCACATACCAAACACCCCTTAGGATTGAGGTACAGTCAGGATTTTTTTCCTTACCTTATAAAGAAAAAAAAAATCCGATGATGATTACTTGTATATTTTCATTTTTTTTTTTTTAATATATGGAGAATGATTATTAAAATTTATTTTTTTTAATAGGCTTATTAGATTATATGATTAGTTGTATTTTTTTTTTATTCAATGGACGATATGATGATAATTATTAGATTATACGATGATTAGTTGTTCAAGTGGCCTTTTCATAACTGATTAAAATATAGCATTTTGATTTTTCCGAAGAAGGTTCTTCTTTTATCGAAGGTTTCCTCAAATAGATAATTTTCGCAACGAGATATTCTTTCCTTGAGGTTTGGGGTTTCCCCTCTTTATTCTCCATGAAAGTGGCTAAGATACTACGGATGGAATTAATTTTGTAGTGCTATTTATATTTTTCACTATATAAAACAATTATTTTCTTATGTATTTTCATATTATCAACCTTTCAAATTAATATAGGTATAAGAGAATGAAGTAATATATATCAACCTTTTAGCCTTTTATACATCTTATTAATATATATAATTACAAATATTAGTAACAGTTAAAAATGTGTATTTACACGTGTATTAGCTAAACTAGTGCAACTATTATGAAACGTAGGGAGTAATGAACTACTTCCTCCGTTCTTTTCTTATTGCACCATAAGGGTTGGGCGCAAATTTTTTTGGTAGTGGAAAAAATGATGAGAGAGTAAAGAAAATATACAAGATTGCCCATGTGATGATATGCCTAAACTAAAAAATCAAGTGTTGAAAAGTAAGGGTATATTTGGTATTACTAGTGTGAACACAAATAATTCTTTTCATAAAAATGGTGCAATATTTGTGATATTTTCTTAAAAGGCAAGTGATGCAATATTTAAAAAATGGAGGAAATATATACTCACATAATTGGAAAGATAAATACGGAGTAGTAATGAAGTATTAAGTGATTAAGCTATATGTCGAGTATGTTATTCACATTAGGTGAAATTGCTAATTAAATAAATTTTATTTTAAAATTATTATATTAATGTCTTTAGTTAGAGGTGATAAAAAAATTGGGTTGGACCAGGCCTTAACATTATATCTCATGTCCAAAATCGCAAAAGAAGTAGCGGACATGCAGACCAAAGCGGGCTTTTTGGGCCATGCTCGGTTTTTTTAACTAAAACTGTGGTTATTGGCTTGCTAAACCCGCCCTATTTTCAAGCTGAGCCAATAATGATCACCTCTATCTTCAATATAATTGGCCAAATTAATGGCTGGTTTAAGCTTTACGCTTTTATGTATCATGATTTTGTAAACATTTTGGCGGAATAAAGGAAAAAGATGATGAAATAATTAAAAGTGATGGCAAGAAATGCAAAGGACTAAAAAGTGTGAAACCAGTAGAGGTAATGTAAAGACAAAAAGAAGCATCTTCATCTTTAGACCAAAAGGATGTTCTTGCTTTAAGATCACAAAAGCCGAGCCACATCATGACCATCTTGATCCTACAATAAAATTGCTAATTAAGATATAAATATAAGTATATAAATAATACCCTCTTAAAAAATAAACAATGGAAGTATTACAAATAATAGATCAATCTTTACTTCTCTTTTCTTGAGTTCTACTTATTTTCTATTTTCATCGGCTTTTATATTACTCGATTTTACTTAACTCCTTCTATGACTATCTATTATGAGTATTAATTTTCTGTCATATACTATACTTTGTGGTTTAGGACTTAATTTTAATTTAGGTTGTATTCACTTCACCTTAAAAAAATAATCCCATTAGCTCAATTACTATCTTATATAAAATTTTAACTCTAATCTTATTTTATTTAATCTAAACTTAGTAGACCTACAGTAAGTGAAAATTTGGAAAGAATAATAGACAGTTAGTAGATACGATTACAAAAGACATGGAAATTGGGTCGTTCAGGTCAAGTAATATGAATCAGTTCATTTCGAGTTGGGTCATTTTGAGTCAGGTTACAATCAGTTCGGGCTTAGGTTTGGGTTTGGGCGTGTTGGCTCATTTTGGGTTTCAAGTTAAGTTTAGGTCAATAGATAATTGGGTAGGGCCGTATCGAGTAGAGATTTTGATCAAGTTCAAATTGGGTCATTTTAGTTCGAGTCGCTTCAAGTCTACTCAATTTTAGGGTCAAGCTCAGCCTGGTTCAAGATTGAATCGGTAAATTAATTATTTGTTACGCTTTGTTTGGATAACAAAGAAGGAAAAAAAGGAAGGGGAGGAAAAAAGGAGGAAGGGAAGGGAAATAAAAGAAAGGGAGGGGTGAGCTCCATTGTCCCTCCAAATCTCTCCAATTTTGGAGTAATTATGCTTATTAAAGAGAGAGGGATTCCCTCTCCTTCCCCTTCCTTCCTCCAATTCTTTATTTAAACAAGAGAATTTTCTCCCTCCCTTTCTCTTCTCTTTTTCCTTCCATTTCTTTCTATTCAAACAAAGTGTTAGTTTTTTTTTTTTTGGGTTAATGCGGTAAACGTTCCTAATCAAGTGGAACTATGAATTACGTAATTTTGTTTTGTTTTTTTATTTTTTATTTTTTATTTTTTACAATGGTATGCATCATGTAATACCATGTCTTACCATTCATTCATTCTTAGCCAACTATATTTTCTTATATAAATATACAAGCCGATTTGGATCAAGGTCTATTATTTGGGTTTTCAAGGCTCAAATTGATTAAGTCAGTTTGAGTATAAGATTTTTTTTCAGGTCATTTGGGTTCTATATATGATAATTTTAGTTTGGGTCACTTCGAATATAAGGTTACTTTGGGTCGATTATTTCGAGTTAAAATTCGGTCGGGTCACTTTGGGTATTGGGCCACTTTGTTTAGGGCCACTTTGGGTCTAGTCACTTCGTGTATCGGGTCAACTTAGGGTCACTTAAGGTGTCAGGTCAACTTCATATAGGGTACATTCAGCTCGGTTCATTTTGGGTATCAGATCAAAATCGGCTCAACTCATCAACTACAGGTTGTGTCGAGTACCTTTCGGGATACGATCAGGTTTGGGTCGTTGTTTAGGGTCCAAGTTTGGTCACTGATAAGTCTATTTTATATATATATATTTATTCCCCGTCCCAATGGTCATAATTGTGTTTATTTGAGCTCTACATAGCTACTTTTGTTACTAATATGCATTTCTAGTATTTTCGTAGATTTGGTATTGTTTCATAGGAAATTGCAGATTTGGAGCATTTTCCTGGATTTATTAGAGCCACTACGAGCATTGGAGTAAGGCCGCATTTATATGACCACATTCCGAGGCCCAGGACCGGTAGGAGTCATCAAAGCGATGATTAAGGGCTCGGCGAAGAAGAAGAGTGTGGGGTAATGGACCATGTATTAAGAATCCAAAGAGGAAATGCGAATTGGGCTAAGAAACGGCCTAATTGAAGAAATCCAAGTCTGCCCGAGAGCTCGCCCGACCGGGCGCGTGTTTTTATTAGGATTTTTAATTTTTTTTTATCTTTTTCTTTAATTAGGATTATTAGTTTATAAATACTTTTTGTTGCCAAAGATTGTTTTACATTATTACACATTGACGATTCCGTCTTTTCTCCCTAGATTTAATTCCAGATTTTGTTTAAGCTTGTCCTTGATACTTTTATTCGCT